CGCCCCCAGCCCGGCCCGCCCCCGCCGTGCCTATCCCGGACCGGACCGCGCCCCGCCACTGCCCGCACCGAGCCCCGGCACCGAGCCCCGGCACCGAGCACCGGCACCGAGCACCGGCACCGAGCACCGGCACCGGCACCGAGCACCGGCACCGAGCACCGAGCACCGGCACCGAGCACCGCGAGGTGAGTGAGAGCGGCACCCCCGCCCGGGAACGGGATCGGGGGGTCGGTCCCGCGCCCCAAAAATTGGGGAACCCCATCCCCAAATCCCGGTTTGGGGTCCCCTCCCGGTCCCGGTAACGGGGGGCTCGGTCCTGCACCCCAAAATGGGGGAACCTGTCCCCAAATCCCGTTTTGGGGTCTAAATCCCGGTTTGGGGTCCCCCTCCCGGTAACGGGATCGGGGCTCGGTCCCGCACCCCAAAATGGGGAACCCCATCCCCAAATCTTCCTTTGGGGTCCCCCGCCCCGCCCCGGTACCGGGGAGCCCATCCCGGTGTCCGTTTTTGGGGGGTCTCCGTCCCCAAACCCCATTTTGGGGGGATCAATCCTCTCCCCAGATTTGGGGTCCCGCGCCCCGATTTTGGGGGGATTTTTGAGCATCACTTGTGGGGACCCCATCCCTGTCCCGCACTTTGGGGGTCTCCATCCCCAAACCCCCTTTTTGGGGGGGGTCTCACCCTTTTGGGGGGGGTCCCACCCCACTTTTGGGGCGGTTCCATCTTTTTTTGGGGTTTCCCTTCTTGGGGCGGTTCCCTTTTTCTGGGGATCGCTTTTTTTGGGGGGGTTCCTCCTTTTTGGGGCGGTTTCTTCTTTTTTTGAGGGTTCCCCTTTTTTTTGTGGGGTCCCCCTTTCCCTGGGGGTCACTTTTGGGGGTATTCCCCTTTTTTTTTGTGGGGGGAGTAATTTTGGGAATTCCTCCTTTTTTTGAAGATTTCCCCTTTTTGGGGATTTTCCTTTTAAGGGGGGGGGTCTTCCTTTTTGGGGGGGTTCTCTCGTTTTGGGGGATTCTTCTTTTTTGGGGGGATTCCTCCTTTTTGGGGGGATTCCTCCTTTTTGGGGGTGATTCCTCCTTTTTTTTTGGGGGGGGGTCTCATTTTGGGGAGATTCCTCTTTTTTGGGTGGGATTCCTCCTTTTTTGGGGTGATTCCTCCTTTTTGGAGGGGATTCCTCCTTTTTTGGGGTGATTCCTCCTTTTTTGGGGTGGGATTCCTCCTTTTTGGGGGTGATTCCTCCTTAGGGGATTCCTCCTTTTTTGGGGTGATCCCTCCTTTTTTGGGGTGGGATTCCTCCTTTTTTGGGGGGATTCCTCCTTTTTGGAGGGGATTCCTCCTTTTTGGGTGGAATTCCTCTTTTTTTGGGCGGTTCCCATTTTTGAAAATCTTCCTTTTTTTTTTTTTTCCGGGGTCACTTTTAGGGCGGATCCCTCTTTTTTAATTTTTTTTTTTGTTTTTTGGGGGGTGGGGGAGGGGCTGCGGGCCCGCCCCCCCCCGTGAGTCACCGGGGTGTCCCCAAGGGGGGGGGACACAGCGGCCACGCCCCCGGGACGTGTCCCCCCCGTGTCCCCCCCGTGTCC